AATAATATTTTAAATAATATCCCAAATAATTTTCTGAGTAAATAAATTTCCATATAATAATTAAGTAAATTCTACGACGCAATACTTAATCTAATGATTGTGACCGAACGCGAAATGGCGGTGACCTTCAGCCGACTTCAATGCCTGGCTGATGCCGCACCACCGAGAGATTATTGAGACATTTTATTTGTACCTGGAGTTTTTTTTTTTTCTTTTTAGGACGCTCGTGAACTCCCTCAAAGAACAGCAACTCCTTCACGTCTGTACTGGTACAAATTCCTCTTCGGTGGGAAACTCTGCTTGGCAGCGAGACCTCGGTCACCGTCACTCGTTTCTCCGAATATTTTATGAATTTGAAACCGCAATCAAGCATTAGAAATTGTTAAAATTTAAGATCAATTTACGCAAGCCGTCTGAAAGCCTGGCAAGCAATAAATTAATAGATTTGATCGCTTCGTTCCACTGTTCGAAAGGTGACAAGGAAATAATTACCTGCTTGATGATGTTTTTACTAAATTTGCGTGTCCACGCGGTTTGGCGACTCGGTCACAATGACTCTTCTCAGCTTTGTCGGTGCGTTTCTTTCTTCGCTCCGTCTTCCCCACTCACTCTCCGCGCCAGCGCTTCCCTCTTGGGGACTTACTCACTAACTTACAGCTAGAGGCGCGAGTACTTCGGAGCACAGCGCTCTGGGGAATCAGTCGATAACTAACTCACACGGATCGGAAACCTTCTCTGGGTAAAGAAGGCCCCGTGTACTCCATTACAGTATCAACACCAATCTTAGGCGCGGACTTCCTGACGCATTATAATCTATTGATTGATCTTGGGAACCGCCAGCTTATTGACACAGTTACCCAGCTGTCTACAAAAGGTGAGATAATAGCAATAAAACACTACAATATTTCTACTATCAGCAATGAAATACCTCCTAAATACGCAAAACTACTGGAGCAATATATTGAGATCACCAAGCCACTCACAAGATCGTGTATCAATAAAAACGGTTATGCTCACCGAATTATAACACACGGTCCACCACCAACAGCAAGACCACGCAGACTTGCTGGTGAAAAAGCAGCAGCAGCTAAACAACAAATCAACGAACTCCTTGACGCTGGTATCATCAGACCATCGAGCAGCAAATACGCCAGCCCAATACACTTGGTGCAAAAGAAAGAAGGTACTTGGAGAATGTGCGGTGATTATCGACCTCTTAACACCATCACTGAACGAGATAACTATCCACCACCTCACATAAATGATTTATTTCCACGCCTAGCGGGCAAAAAAATTTTCTCAAAAATCGACGCAGAGAAAGCCTACCTAGGAATACCAATGCATCCAGACGACATTGAAAAAACTGCTATCACAACACCCTGGGGGCTTTACGAGTATCTTGGCATGCCATTTGGGCTAAAAAATGCATCAGCTACTTACCAGCGCTACGGTGATTCCATCATCCGCGATCTCAACTTCGTATTTCTTTACGTCGATGATTATCTAATATTCTCTGACAGTGAAGAAGAACACGAAGAACATATTCGCATACTGCTCGAGAGACTCAAGCAACACAAAATAATAATTAATTTAAAAAAATGTGTCTTTGCTCAGCTACAGATTGATTTCTTAGGTTTCACAATTACCGCAGACGGCTATACACTAAAGGCAGACAGAGTTGAAGCCATCAACAACTATCCAAAACCTGAAACCATCGTCGAGCTTCGTAGATTTTTCGGCATGGTGAATTATTACCGGCAAAACATACCTGATGCTGCTCAATTACTTCTACCTCTCAACAGTTACCTCAAAGAGTCGATTAAGAACGATAAAACAAAAATCATTTGGACTTCTGAAGCTGAAGAAGCGTTCAACAAATGCAAGCAGCAGCTAGCATCAACAACACTTCTAACTTTTCCCTCAGCCCCGTTGGCTCTTACCACCGATGCGTCATCATCAGCCATTGGAGCAAAATTCGAGCAACTGGAAAATGTTGGAAGGTGTGTCTTAATGTATATAGAATAAGTGAAAGGAAATTTAGTATAGACCGGATAGCTCAAATGGTAGAGTAGCCGACATGTCTTCGGAAGGTTCTGGGTTCGAATCCCAGTCCGAGCTATCTAATAATTTTTTTCTCGCATATTCTATACATTCACATTAAGATGATCCTCTCCACAATCCTTTCTCAATCCTTTCCTACCAAAATATCCTGTTACGTGAATGTTGGAACGCTTCACGTAATAATTATCCGTAACTCCTATTCTTTCCCGCTTCACAGCATTATTTATATTTGTTAAAATATATTCTGTGATATAACTGCCGGCATTGTCAGACCGTACATTCCTCAAACTCTAAGAAAAACTGCATTCAACGTAGTACATGGTCCATCGCATCCTGGTGGAAAAACAACATCAAGAAATCTACGAGAAAAATTCATCTGGCCTGGTATTCGTAAAGACGCGATAAAATGGTCTCGTGAGTGCATGGCATGCCAAAGAACCAAAATACATCGTCACAACAGAATTAAACCAAATCACCTAGATGCTCCAGACAACAGATTTAACCACGTCCACCTAGAGATCATTTTTCTACCTAAAGTTGGAGACTATCAATATTGTCTGACAATGATTGATCGTTTCACCCGCTGGCCAGTTGCTGTACCAATTAAAGACATTACTGCTGAGACTGTAGTGACAGCTTTATTTGATCACTGGATAGCTCACTACGGAATTCCAACTCAAATCACCACAGATCAAGGTACACCATTTGAATCAGCTTTATTTTCAGCACTAGCGAAACTAGTTGGTGCTAGCAAAACTCGCACCACTCCGTATCATCCACAGTCCAACGGCATCGTAGAAAGAATGCATCGCACTCTCAAAGCTGCTGTCATGTACTCGCCAAAACCGTGGACTGAAATATTATCAACCGTTCTACTAGGACTTCGGACAAGTTTTAAAGAAGATATTCAAGCAACTCCAGCCGAACTACTCTACGGAACCTGCTTACGTGTTCCTGGAGAATTCTTTTTATCAGCCGAACTACCAGCTGATCCTCAAATATTTGTAGAAAGACATCGAGAGTACATGCGTGGACTCAGACCCACTACGACGGCTCATCATAACAAAGCCCGTATTTTCATTCTCAAGAACCTCGACACATGTTCACACGTCTTCGTACGGTGTGATCATGTCAAGGCACCACTTGAAGCACCATACATTGGACCTTATAAAATAATCCAACGAGTCACGGATCGGGTATACAAGTTGGACATCGATGGAGAGGAAAAAAATATCTCGATCGAACGACTGAAACCAGCTTACATATCCAAAAACGACGACGATTTTCCACCCGAGCCTGAGACGTCAAATTCACAACCTAGTTAACCGCAAGAATACTGGGGCTCCGTCATGGACAGACCTCAACGAACGTACCAACGCAAAGTAACGTTCAAAGTTCCCGCGGAAGTTCACTCAGGGGGGAGTGGTTGTGGCGGTCCTGTCGCCTCTCTCACGCCACAGCGGCCTTACACTGAACTAAATATACCTCAACACCGCCAACGACGAGAGAGTAAACTACAGACTTTCCCGGCTACAAATTATTATTATTATTTTAATTACCAATCGACATTACGCGCTACCGCTGTAGCTTACTAAAAGTTTATTTATTTAAATGTAATTATTTAAACTAAGTGTTTGTTTATAATAAAGTTTATTAGACCACGAATTTACTGATCACATATTTATTTAATAGTAGTAGTAATTTACCCGCTACAGTGCGGCGATTGACGCGCACTCTGCCAGTCAACCTCCCGAAGTCAACAGCTGCTTGCGAGCCAACCACCATAATAAATCTACACACTGTGACCAATAACACGTGCATTGTGTATTCCTAAACTTACTTACTAATTCATTGTGTTCAACTCGTTACTGCAAGTATCTTATCAAGAAATTCAACATCATTGGTAACGCAGGTATTGTTTTTCAATAATTCTTTTCCTAAAACCTGTCTAATAATCATCATTAGGACCAGGGACTTCGTATGGAAGGGGTAAAACAATTGATTAAAACAAATGCTCGTGCGTTACCCCTTCCATACGAAGTCCCTGGCCATAATCATCATTCATATTTTTCACCTTTGTAACTTCTCATGCCGGTAAACCATCGTTATAAATTTGGTCATTCACTATTGCATTGTAATTAAGTCTTAATCAGCAGTCACACGGAATTAAATTTATCGTGCATTAATATTTTAATGAGATATGACTCATCATACAACAATTTAGTAATCAAGTAAAATCTTTGTTATACCTGGCTGAGGTGATGTCACCGATCACCAGGTACTCACTTAATTCTTTGATCTTCCATCATCTTCTCTCTTGTGACTGCAGAATTTAAGTTCAGATAGCGTTCAAACTTCTCTCCGTGCTCTTCACTCGTTTCATCGCTCGTATTAAATATTGTTGCGTCATTAATATTACTTAATGTGATAATAATAATAATTTAATCAACTCGTGTAATTCAATTAATCTTAGTTAATAATTCTGATATTGTTAACTTAAATAATTATCAACTCTCAGAACAATTCTCATTATTAATATTTGTGTATGATGCCACATGTATTAATAACTCGTCGTTTATAATTATAATTCAATGATATTAATCAGTAATAATAATAAAAATACTCGTGTTTAAATAATTAAATAGTTAAATAAATTAATGAATTAATTTGTTAGTAGTTCGTAAGAGTTCATGTGTTCACTAGTTTTAACTGTGATATTTTATATAATAAACGATAAAACACGAATAAAGTGATAAACAATTTCTTTCTGACATCCCGATCCAGCTAATAATAAATATTTAATGCTAAGTTAATTCACAGCCTCAAATAGGAATTTTAAAGAAATAAAGAAAGACTAATTTTATTTACGAGTAACTATTAACAACCGTTTTTATTTATTTTCGTCTTTTTTTTTTTAATATTTTACATAAACGACCGTTTTATAAACTTGAATACTCCTTAGTTATTATGTTTCCGTTGCTCCTGGGAATAACTGAATGAAAATTTTGAGTTCCTCTAATGGTCTCAGCGTCATTGTATCGCAAATCTAATCTTTCTTTTGCCTCAATATAGTCTCTTTCAGGTGAAAATTTGACAACAATATTTGGTACTGACAGTGGAGTGGTCAGTGGACACGTAATTTTGTCTAGGTCGCCCGATAAAAACTAAATAAACAAAAAAATGACTTGGGAGATGACTCTTAGCCTCCCAAGCAACCAGCAGCTTTTCCTCAGACTAGGTTAGTGCACGATTTTGGACGCCAGTTATTCTTGTTACCAGGGAAATAACAAACCCTTTGATCTCCAGGGCCAATCTACAGGTATTCCAGGGAAAGATAAATAATATACTAATGTTAGGAAAGAAAGGAGGAAGTAATTTACGTTAATTAAAGTTATGAATAAATCAGCAAATATTGACAATAAAACAAATAAACTATTTATTCAAAAGACCAGACATTACTTAAAACTGAGTCCAGCGTCGAATTCCTTAGCCCGATGGACTATATAACAATAATAATAATCTTGCCGCGTACAATTATTAATTATTGATCTAAATCCTGAGTAGATCATTAATTTACGACGACGTTGATTATAAACTAAAAATTATATTTAATAATATTGAACAGAGATAAACCCGAAATCCTCAGTCGGGTTATCTCGACAAAAGATAAACAAACTAAATACTGGCTGACTCTAAAAACGCTTTTGAATAATAAATTATTCGCCAGGAGACAACACGGTGTGCGGATACTAATATGGCTCAACTTGTGAGTACTAGATGTAAGTACTAGATATAATTTAAAATATTCGTTCTTCTTCGGAGATCGTAGTTGCTTCCACAAAGATGAACACTTCTTAACAACATTTGTGTGCCTTTTTTTTAAAACTTGAGATGCTTCAATACCCTTACTGATATCTGTTGTTGCTATCAAGTTGAGAGTATGACTAGCACACCGCAAATGTTGAGGTAATGCTATTTCACATGTCAAATCGAATTCTTCTTCAGCTCTCACAGAAATGTCATCCAAAGCATCAAAAATCTCTTCATCATTATCATCGCAACTCACTTCAGACGAATCTAAATAACATTCAAGACAAATTGAAAGAAATTAAACAACATCAGTCAGTCAAGAAAAATTCAATAGTTAATTATTAATTAAAAAAAAAACTCTAATACTTTAAAATTATTCAAATTTCGAATTACGAAAAGAAAGAATTTAAACCAGCTTTAATCATTGTTGGTGATTTATATTTACAGTAGAATTTATTATAAGAAATACCCTGATTAAAAAAAGGAATTTGATAGAATTAAAAAAATTTATATCCTCACGAATGCTATCCAATCCTGAAAATATGATTTAAAAGGATTCAACATGATTCAAATTTTTTAATTCTGTTGAATACTATTTAATTCTAAAAATATGATTTAAAAGGATTCAACATGATTCAAATTTTTTAATTCTGTTGAATACTATTTAATTCTAAAAATATGATTTAAAAGGATTCAACATGATTCAAATTTTTTAATTCTGTTGAATACTATTTAATTCTAAAAATATGATTTAAAAGGATTCAACATGATTCAAATTTTTTAATTCTGTTGAATACTATTTAATTCTAAAAATATGATTTAAAAGGATTCAACATGATTCAAATTTTTTAATTCTGTTGAATACTATTTAATTCTAAAAATATGATTTAAAAGGATTCAACATGATTCAAATTTTTTAATTCTGTTGAATACTATTTAATTCTAAAAATATGATTTAAAAGGATTCAACATGATTCAAATTTTTTAATTCTGTTGAATACTATTTAATTCTAAAAATATGATTTAAAAGGATTCAACATGATTCAAATTTTTTAATTCTGTTGAATACTATTTAATTCTAAAAATATGATTTAAAAGGATTCAACATGATTCAAATTTTTTAATTCTGTTGAATACTATTTAATTCTAAAAATATGATTTAAAAGGATTCAACATGATTCAAATTTTTTAATTCTGTTGAATACTATTTAATTCTAAAAATATGATTTAAAAGGATTCAACATGATTCAAATTTTTTAATTCTGTTGAATACTATTTAATTCTAAAAATATGATTTAAAAGGATTCAACATGATTCAAATTTTTTAATTCTGTTGAATACTATTTAATTCTAAAAATATGATTTAAAAGGATTCAACATGATTCAAATTTTTTAATTCTGTTGAATACTATTTAATTCTAAAAATATGATTTAAAAGGATTCAACATGATTCAAATTTTTTAATTCTGTTGAATACTATTTAATTCTAAAAATATGATTTAAAAGGATTCAACATGATTCAAATTTTTTAATTCTGTTGAATACTATTTAATTCTAAAAATATGATTTAAAAGGATTCAACATGATTCAAATTTTTTAATTCTGTTGAATACTATTTAATTCTAAAAATATGATTTAAAAGGATTCAACATGATTCAAATTTTTTAATTCTGTTGAATACTATTTAATTCTAAAAATATGATTTAAAAGGATTCAACATGATTCAAATTTTTTAATTCTGTTGAATACTATTTAATTCTAAAAATATGATTTAAAAGGATTCAACATGATTCAAATTTTTTAATTCTGTTGAATACTATTTAATTCTAAAAATATGATTTAAAAGGATTCAACATGATTCAAATTTTTTAATTCTGTTGAATACTATTTAATTCTAAAAATATGATTTAAAAGGATTCAACATGATTCAAATTTTTTAATTCTGTTGAATACTATTTAATTCTAAAAATATGATTTAAAAGGATTCAACATGATTCAAATTTTTTAATTCTGTTGAAAAATCCTTTTATATTCTAAAAAATATTGAAATGAAAACATTATTTCAGGATTACAAAGTATTCAATAGAATCAGAAATTTTAAATGCTAGTTAAATCCTTTTATATTCTAAAAAAATATTGAAATGAAAACATTATTTCAGGATTACAAAGTATTTAATATGATTAATCGTGAATTTTGAAACAGGATTTGCAGTATTTAGCAGAATTTGGAAGTATTAACATTTTAATTCTTTTTAATTCTGTCAAATTCCTTTTTTTAATCAGGGTAATTACCAAAAAGATCTTTATCAGAAACGTCAACTCCAAATTCCTTAAATGCTTTTATAAAGTTTGATCCGTTGTCAGTAACTGTTGCTCTGATATTTTCTGAAGTGAGACCAAATGAAGAATGAATATCAAATAATTTTTTAGCAATTGCATCGAATGAATGAGTGCCCAGAAAACGCTTGCAAGCAACAGCATCAGATTTTCTTGCTAAGCTTTTTTGATCAATCTAGAAATAAAAATTAAAAAATTATTTTCTTTTATACAGCGATCTATAATATAAAATGATTCACCTCACAGTACAGAAATAAAAATACAAATGAAAAGGTTTTAAAGAATTCAACATTGAAAATACTACTTATAAATGAAATCACTGATGTAAATACTTATAAATAATAAATCATGAATTCAATATTTAAAATGCTCAATATGAAATACTAATTATTTTATTAAAATTTTTAAATTGACTATATCTCAGCACTCTTACCCAACTCATTGTGACCCCCAAAAATCTTCTACTCCCACTTGTCCATACATCGGCTGTTGTACAGACAAAACCATTGTTTGTTGTTACTGATTCTAAGTGTTGTCGAATTTCATTAAAACTTTTATCAAAATAAGTTTTAATCCGTTTTCCCAGTGAATATCGAGATAAATGCTGTAACTGTGACTCGCCCTTTTTGACTTGTAAATCTAAATGAGAACATGTGAATTATTCATATTTTATATATTTTTCAGAAAAAAAAGCAAATGAAATTATAAATTAATTTTAGAGTAAAATTTTTAATACTTACCATCAAAAATCTGACGAAAAGATGGCCTCTCAACTACATTAATGGGCAACATACTATCTAAAACAAAATAAGTCAAGTTTTCTTCAAATTTCTCTTGATTATAGCTACAAGACCACCGTTTTCTGTCAACTGTTGATATGTTTGCTGGATCATTTTTTTTTAACTTTTAAGTATTCTTTATACTCATTAAACTGGAGCTTGTGGACATTCTAAATAAAAAAAAATGATAATATTAGGTTTTATAAAAATTCAAAGTCAAATCAACGAAACTTGTAAGTTAAATGAAAAATAAACAGATTGCTTACTTTTAAATGTGACGAAAAATTGGAAGTAGCTCGTAAAGAGCCTTTATAATATTTTTCTCCTGAACAAAATTGGCATTTAGCTATATCATTTTTAATAGTTGATTTACTAAAGTCGACTAAAAAGAATTTTCCATCAAGAATAGCGACTTTGGTAATTGCACTTTTTAACTCCTCCTCTGGATTTTTCACAGAGTTAACGTTGTTAGTAGTATCAGAGTTAATATCATCAGTAGTATCATTTTCATTATGTTCATTATTATTATTCATTGAATTATCACCAATAAAATTACCTAAATTTGGCAAATTTTCAGAGTCACTTTCACTTAAATCACTTTTAGATTTTTCTATAGATAATTCGCTAAGTCGACTTGTTTCTCTTTCGATGTTCTGTGAGAAATCACTTGAACTAACTTTATCAATTGTAGTTACAACATTATCTATTTCAATATCATTAATTTCATCACTATCACTTTCGCTGATAACGCGTCGATTTCTTTTTGTATCATTACATGACGATGACTGTGAACAAGAAAACCGTATCCTCTTTCGATCTGGTGAACTTGAATTTGAGGAGGACATTTTTAAAAATGGATGTAATATAATAATGAGTGAGTTATTATAAAAATATGCTAATGGTGATAATTATACATATCAATAATTAAAATACACTGAGAAATTCATACAATAATCGATAACCTTAAAAACAAATGTGACAACAAGTGAATCTTTAGTTTTAAAAAACTTTTTAGTTTCAATTAAATATAAATGTCACATTAATAATTAATATGTTTTATAAATTTTAAGAAAACTATGACTGTTTTTTTGATAGTAGTAAAACCAAATCTAAGAACGAAAAATACTAAGTTTGTTGATCTATTTCTTCGCTTCAAAATCTACAGTTGTCAACAAAAGGCCAACAGGGCCACTGTATTAACCGTCCGGCGCACTATTGCGATACCTGTAGCCCTAGATACAGTAAGAGATGGCGGTGGCGCGAAAAATAATTTAAATTAAAATTTTTTTTACAAATTTAGGACTTAGAACAATAATAATAAATCATAATATTTGAAAAATTGTTGATTTTAGTGCCAAAATTTCGTGATAACGAAAAATTTTAACATTATTCAGCTCAAAAATTTTGGAACTAAAAACTTTAAGTTTTGAATACCGATATTATTGTTTATAAAATAACAATTGTTTGCGCATCCTCAAACAATCTAATATTTCAAAAATTCTGATTTAGAAATGAGTATTTCAATGGATAATTGCAATAGTTTGCAAAATAAAATAGAAATAAGTATTTCTATTTCATAAATTTAACATTAAAAATAATATTTTTATTCATGATGGAACTAAATTAAAAAATAACATTAAATAATTAATGCCATATGTTAAAATGAAAAATTAAAATTTAATGGATAATTGAAAAAAAAAGAATTACAAATTAAAATTTATTTTCTAATTTATTAAAAATGCATTATAATATTCAATGCATTATTTGCAACTCTGGATACACCGAGTGTGGATCTGTTGCCAACTCTAGGCGCAGAGAGGGACGCACACAGGAATAAAATTCGTGTGACAGACTTGTTGGTGTCGACGCCCAGTTGTACAACTCTATTACTGTAGTTATTTAGTCATCGAGTGGCCGTTGAAGGCTTGCTCTTGCTACTTTTCTTTTTACGGTTCCTCCAATACCATCACATGGCCCTTTACCATATGCTGTTGCGAAAAAATGCCACTCAGGATCTAAGTTAAAGTCTTCGTTGTGATAATAAATATTAACAAAATTCTCAAAGTTCTTCAATTGTTGTGGAGCTCCATCCGAAAAGTAAAAAACTTTAGCTGCATTGGGGTCTAATTCTTTTATAAAATCGGTAACAATCTTCACAAAAACATGAACGTCGACAGTGTCATGATTATTGTTATCAGATATGATGACTAAACTTCGGTGAATAAGTTCGCCGTTATATTGAAATAGATTACAACAGGAAAAATCGTTGCTTAATTATTGTTCCAATCAAACCCTGGCACTGCATCTTGTATCACAAAAGCATAATTTTCTGCAAAATCGCAAATGGCTATGAACTTATGATCTCGCAACGATTGTTTTGTTTTTGTTTCAAAAAAGCCGATTGTTCTTTAGCAACAAAATAATGCGGTAATAAATTTTTTATACGATCAGAGAATATTTCGACAAATTCTATAGAGTTTTTTTATACTTAATAATAATAACTAAGGAGTATTCCAGTTTACAAAACGGTCGTTTATGTAAAATATTAAAAAAAAACACGAAAATAAATAAAAACGGTTGTTAATAGTTACTCGTAAATAAAATTAGTCTTTCTTTATTTCTTTAAAATTCCTATTTGGGGCAAAAATATATCAAAATCAATTTATTATTAGTAAAAAAGAAGTACAGAGTTTAAAAAATCGCCACTGATAATAATTTATCTGAACAAAAACAGTTTCACTGTAATAAATTGCGCCAAGTACACGTTCACAACTTTTGATTTACCAAAATACCAATGAGAAATTATCACTTTACAAAAAGACGTAAAATAAAAAAAAAACAGACCAAGTAGCCGTTATGATTTTTAATAATTGAAAAAATTTTGTAGTAAATTTAACAATTAAAAACAATTTTTTCAACGTACTTGGCGTGCGTCATTTAGTACCCCAAATTTTTTCATATCTGATAACTAAGGCCAAAGAACTTATGTGAAAAGTAATTTTAGGGACTACAATTCTTTCAGCCCCTCCTCACCAAGTCATTGACCCTACTGATGATTATTTTGATGCAACCATATGAATCTATAAGTTTTGAACATCTCGATCAATCGAATCGAGATAAGTGGCAATACAAAAAGTATCAATGCCATTAAATTTGGTGAAAATTTGAATTGATACGGTTCGCTAAATTTTGAGAAATCTCAAAAACAAAATTTTCAAAAAATGGTTTTTTAGAATAACTTTTAAACGACTCCACGAGTCAATTAAAAAAACTCATCCGCTCTTAAACTCAAAATACTGCGTCTATTGCCGCCAGTCCCGTCAAAATCAATTGATTCTTTTGGGAGTTATCAAAAACGAAAAATTTCGAAAAAAGTGATTTTTTTACATAACTTCATTTCTTTTTGGATAGTTTTTGATGAAAAAAAAAAATAATTATTGAAGGAGGATGATTAAAATTAAATTTTTCTTGACGAGAGAAGAAACTGGATTCTTAGACGCTAGTAGAGCTAAGCCTTCGCGCGATCGCGCTTAAAGCATGCAATAATGCTGGGAAGAAGAAAAGAACAGGAGTTAAGATAATGATTAAACTACTGACTGTTGACATGAATGAGTTATCTGACGGATTTTGAGACGTTATTACAATACATCTGAAAAAATTTGAGGTACTCAATGACGCACGCCAAGTACGTTGAAAAAATTGTTTCTAATTGTTAAATTTACTACAAAATTTTTTCAATTATTAAAAATCATAACAGCTACTTGGTCTGTTTTTTTTTATTTTACGTCTTTTTGTAAAGTGATAATTTCTCATTGGTATTTTGGTAAATCAAAAGTTGTAAACGTGTACTTGGCGCAATTTATTACAGTGAAACTGTTTTTGTTCAGATAAATATATCCCAATGACTCGCGCACATGTTAGACTCCTTGGTCCGTGTTTCAAGACGGGTCCTGTAAGTACCCAAAGCAGTAGCATCGCTAACCGGTAAATAAGCCAGTTAAAGACATTACACAGCTAACAGCAGACTTTGTCCAGCGACGGCATTAGATCCGCACTACTAGAAATAAAGTCATACTTGCGGTAAGTCTAACGCAAATAATTGCGGCTCAATACCATATGTATACCGTCAAACAGTTTATCAGGACATTAAAGGTCTTCAATATAAAAAATATCAAAGGCTACCATTCAAGCCATAGATAAACATCCAACGGGTTGCGACGTTCTACTAGAGGAGAAGTGCACGCCGACATACCCAGCAAAAATAATACAAGCAAGTATAATATAGTGACCACAAAGATTCTATTATCACATCATAGCCTGCATTAATACTGAATAAGCTGACGATGAATCTCCTCATGCGATCTTTTGGGTTTCACAGGTTTACCCCTGAACGGTTTCACGTACTCTTGAACTCTCTCTTCAAAGTTCTTTTCAACTTGCCCTCACGGTACTTGTTCGCTATCGGCCTCGTAACAATATTTAGCCTTAGATGGAGTTTACCACCCACTTAGAGCTGCACTCTCAAGCAACTCGACTCTAAGGAGAGAACCACCCGAAGTAATTCCCAGTCACTACGGGCCTGGCACCCTCTATGGGTAAATGGCCCCATTCAAGATGGACTTGGACATGATAATGTACCTCGAGTTAATGATTCCTCCTAAACACTACATCTCCCAGTGGCAGAACCACGGGATTTAGTGCTGGGCTAATTCCTGTTCACTCGCCGTTACTAAGGAAATCCTTGTTAGTTTCTTTTCCTCCGCTTAATAATATGCTTAAATTCAGCGGGTAGTCACACTTAATCTGAGGTCGTCAAAGTAATATATAACGATTTAATGAAAATATATTTATCGGTCTGATTTTTTATAATTCATAGACTCGATAAACGATATAATAATGACACATTTCATTAATTCGAGTATGTATAATAATTTAAAATGACATTGTCTTATTTTTTTTATATAATCAAATTTTGAGACAATGAAAAACATTCATTTAAAGTTTATACACATTCATCGCTTGTACAATTACACACACTTGTGCGTAATTGTAAGCAGTTTTTATATAATAAACGACCCTCAGCCAAGTGTGGTCCGGGAATTGGATCCGTGGACCGCAATGTGCGTTCGAAATGTCGATGTTCATGTGTCCTGCAGCTCACAAGTTGACGCGCAATTAGCTGCGTTCTTCAACGATTTACGAGCCAAGTGATCCACCGTTCAGGATAATCATCTTTAGAAAATTTATTATTTTCTTTGTTATACATGTTACGTAATATAATCCGAACAAAAACAGTTTCACTGTAAAAAAATTGCGCCAAGTCCACGTTCATAAAACTCATCTCAATAACATTTGCACTTTACAAAAAAAATTAGGCTCGTTTTAATAATTTTCATTCTCTACAAAAAGTTGTGAAATACAAAAAAATACCAAGAAACCGTCATAATGTTGAAAAAATTGAAAAAAAATTTGTTGAAAATTAAAAAATTAAAAAAAAAATTTTTTATCGTACTTGGCGCGCGTCATTGAGTACCCCAAATTTTTTCAGGATAAATAAACATCCTTTTAATATTGAGAAATTTATAAGTAAGTCAACCTATGTTATTTCATAATAATAAGTTTTACAAAAGTTAGGTAAAATCGACATGTCATACGCAGTTATGCAAACTACATACAATTCGATACGCATGCACACGATGGGTCGGTTGCATTGTGAGAATTGTGTTTACTAAAAAATAAAAAATATGGCCGACTAAATTGGGAAAATGCGGTGTGAATACCAATCAAAAAGTATAAATTACAATTAAACGAAGAAATACCAAGCTCTGATATAGCATAGGGTCCT